GTAGGCAAAATAAAATTGGGAAATTTCGGAGATTTAATGAAGACGCTTAGTGATTAATGGGCGAAGAGTTTCATTCACTTCTGACTAGCCAGTGAATTTTGCTGGATTATTTAGTTTCCTGAATTTTTCTAAATCAAACAGCCCGGTCTCTAAAAATCCATAACTGCTCCCCTGGACAAGGAAAAGTTGTAAAATTTTAAGGATTAATTGAAGACGTTTTGTTGTCGCTGTCCACAAAGTCTCATTTCATCCGACAAGTGAATTTTGCCAAAAAAATCAAAAAGTCGAACAAGCTTACATCTAAAAATTCAAAGCTTCTCCCCTGGACAAAGCCAAATTGCGAAACTTTCCCGATTTATTGAAAATGCCTTGTGCTTAATGCGCTTAATTTCAGTGAAATTTTAAGCTTATTTAGGCCTAAATGTCGTCTAGATAATAGCGCAATTTCAAGTTCTTGCTTGCGTTAACTTGGACATTTTTATTAGAGAGTGTGCAGTTGCTTGAAATCATCCATTTTCAGACCAACATTTGTTAAGGGCGCAAAAGCCAGAATTTGCTGCGATTTGAATTGACTTTTGAGCGTTTTTAGACTCAAGTGTCTTTTATATAAAAACGAAATTTCAAGGTTCTACTGGTTTTCAATTGGAAGTTAAATTTTTTTATTTGAGAGTCCGCAGTTGCGTAAAACCGTCCATGTTCCGACAAACATTTGCTAAGAGCGCAAAAGTCAGAATTTCTTGCGATTTTAATGAACTTTTTAGGGTTTTTAGACTCAAGCGTCTTTTATAGAGTTTAGAAATTTCAAGTTCCTACTGGCTTCAGATCCGAAGTTAGAAATTTTCATTTGAAGGTCTGCATTTTCCCGAATATTTGGGAGGCTGAAGTTGCCTGAACTGTTAATTTTCGCACCAACATTTGCTAAGCGCGCAAAAGTCAGAATTTGGTCCGTTTCCAATGAACATTTGAGTGTTTTCAGACCCTAGTGTTTTTTTATATAAATGCGAAATTTCAAGTTTCTACTGGCTTTAGATTAGAAGTTAGAAGTTTTTATTTCAGGGCTTACAGTTGCGTGAAATCTTTGATTTTGAGCCCATATTTTGCAAAACGCACATCTTCAAATCAAATGCGGTCAAAATCAAAATCAAATTCTGACCCTTTTTAGGATCAAGCGTCCTCTATTGAGTGTAAAAATCTCAAATCGCCACTCGCCCCAGATTAGAAGCGACGATTTCTTATTTTAGAAACTGCCATTGGGTGTAATCGTTATTGAACCTAAACATATTTTTAACGCGTTTAAGAGACCTTTAAGCGCCTGAAAAACAGCGAAGCCCTAAAGCACCCTTAAGAGCATACTTTTTCCTTACTAAGCCAGCTATAGCTGTAGCTCCTTTCTGAGTAACTTACCCAATCCTGATCCGCAAATGACGCCCACTACCGGCGCAAAAGAGACGCGGTTTCTGATATAATGGACGGTTTCCAGTAGCAGCTCATAAGTGTATCTGAAGCAAATAAACAACTAATGAAGAATATAAGAAATGAAGGAAGAATATTCAGGTGCAGTATGTTGCACCATCGACGGCTGCAGCCAAACCAAAACGCAGATTAATCCCGGATTAGAATGTTGTTGAGTTCCGGCTTACATAATTTCCAGAAAAAAATATTAAACAGCTGATAACGTTAAGTAATCGGGTGAGTTTGCATGAACTCGTATAAACATTGTTATCTTATTATTTTTGTTGTTGCCAAGTCATGATCATATTGTGTGAATTTTGACATAAACAGTTGAAAAAACAATTTCTAGAAGGGGTGCGAATTTTTTTCTAAATGGACATGCATCAAACCACCAAACTTCACATCAGACACCCTGTATATTCACCAAAAAAAAAAAAATAGTCGGGCCTTACCGGTGTCCATATTCTGTCTCAAGAGCCTTATGGATGTGCCCATTGGTGGTTCCATTGATCTTGATGTTCGGGTATCCATTAACCATGTTGCTGCTTGTTGGGGGCTCTGAAATCACCACAATGCAAATTGATTTACTAATCTTAAATTAGCGGACTTGGTGCTTTTATAGTGTTAGCGCAAAAGAAAAACAAAAATACCAGTGGCGCACCAGCGGTCTATGGCTGCTGATCTAAATATTAGTCAGGCCGGGCTTGCAGGCCGGAAATCGGCGCCCCTGACTTGCGGACTAAGCTTCAATATTGCGCCGTTTGTTTTCAGAATTACACTCAATCCCTTGCACAACTATTTTTTACTGCCTTATCTGGGATCAAACGGCTAAAATTAGTCTTAAATCGACATTGTTTATGAAAAATTCCATTGTTTGAGCTATTAGTCTGTGCAACAGAATGCAACGCATTTCCGATTAACGATGTCGCCCAAATGCTGATTAATTTCGGTCGAAAAAGTCGGCCAAGTTCATCTGTCCGCAATCAATCATAAGCTAATCAAGTAAAAAAGTTGAAGATGTTGATGAGGTCACAGACATTGAGGTTTGATGTGAAGATCGAAGGGCGGTGATCTCAAAATGAATGGGCGATTGATGAAAAAAGATGGAGATTTATTAAGAGGATTTTGTGGGATTTGAATGAACCATTTGAGCGAATTTGTGACTGTATTGAGACTGAAGTGTCTTCTATATAATGTCGTAATTTCAAGTTTATGCTGGCTTTAGATCCGAAGTTAGAATTTTTCATTTGTGAGTCTGCAGTTGCCTGAAACCGTCCATTTTCGGACTAATATTTTCCTAAGAGCGTAAATTTTCGGACCAACATTTGCTAAGCGAGCAAAACTCAGAATTTGGTGCAATTTGAATGAACTTTTGAGCGTTTAAAAGCTCAAGTGTCTTCTATTTGATGTCGAAATTTAGTCCTTGCGGGCTTTAGATTCAAAGTTAGAGTTTTTTATTTGAGAGTCTGCAGTCGCTTGGAACCGTTCATTTTCGGCCCAACATTTGCTGAGCAGGCAAAAGTCAGAATTTTTGTGCGATCTCTATGAAATTTTGAGTGTTTTGAGTCTCTAGTGTCTTCTATATAATTTTAGACTTTCTAGTTCTTACTGGCTTCAGACTGCAAGCTATAATGTTTGATTTGAGAGGCTGCAGTTGCCTGAAACCTTGCATTTTCGGACCAACATTTGCTAAGCGAGCAAAACTCAGAATTTGGTGCAATTTGAATGAACTTTTGAGCGTTTAAAAGCCCAAGTGCCTTCTATTTGATTTCGAAATTTAGTCCTTGCGGGCTTTAGATTCAAAGTTAGAATTTTTTATTTGAGAGTCTGCAGTCGCTTGGATCCGTTCATTTTCGGCCCAACATTTGCTGAGCAGGCAAAAGTCAGAATTTTTGTGCGATCTCTATGAAATTTTGAGTGTTTTGAGTCTATAGTGTCTTCTATATAATTTTAGACTTTCTAGTTCTTACTGGCTTCAGACTGCAAGCTATAATGTTTGATTTGAGAGACTGCAGTTGCCTGAAACCTTGCATTTTCGGACCAACATTTGCTAAGCGAGCAAAACTCAGAATTTGGTGCGATTTGAATTGACTTTTGAGCATTTTTAGACTCAAGTGTCTTTTATGGAGTTTCGAAATTTCAAGTTCCTACTGGCTTCAGATTCGAAGTTAGGAATTTTCATTGGATGGTCTACTCTTTCCCGAAACCGATTATTTTCGGACTCACCTTTGAGAAGACCGTAAAAGTCAGCATTTGGTGTAAATTGAATGAACTTTCTAGATATTTTAGATTCGAGTGTCTTCTATATAATACAGTTAGTTCAAATTCCTACTGGCTTTAGATTTGAAATTACAATTTTTTATTTGAGAGGCTGCAGTTGCCTGAACCGTTCATTTTCGCACCAACATTTGCTAAGGGCGCAAAAGTTAGAATTTAGTACGATTTTACTGAACTTTTGAGTGTTTTTAAAATCAAGTGTTTTCTATATAATTTAGAAATTTCAAATTTTTACTGGCTTTAAATTCAAAGTTAGGAATTTTCATTTCCGAGTCTGCAGTTGCGTAAAACCGTCCATTTTCAGACCAACATTTGCAACGCACGCAAATGGCAGAATTTGGTACCATTTGGGCAAATTTGTGACTGTATTAAGACTCAAGTGTCTTCTATATAATATTGTAATTTCAAGTTCATGCTGGCTTTAGATTCGAAGTTAGAATTTTTCATTTGTGCGTCTGCAGTTGCCTGAAACCGTCCATTTTCCGACTAATATTTCCTAAGAGCGTAAAAGTCAGAATTTGGTGCGATTTGAATTGACTTTTGAGCGTTTGTAGACTCAAGTGTCTTTCATAGAGTGTCGAAATTTCAAGTTTCTACTGGCTTCAGATTCGAAGTTAGGAATTTTCATTGGATGGTCTACTCTTTCCCGAAACCGATTATTTTCGGACTCACCTTTGAGAAGACCGTAAAAGTCAGCATTTGGTGTGAATTGAATGAACTTTCTAGATATTTTAGATTCGAGTGTCTTATATATAATATAGTTAGTCCAAATTCCTACTGGCTTTAGATTTCAAATTACAATTTTTTATTTGAGAGGCTGCAGTTGCCTGAACCGTTCATTTTCGCATCAACATTTGCTAAGGCCGCAAAAGTTAGAATTTAGTGCGATTTTACTGAACTTTTGAGTGTTTTTAAAATCAAGTGGTTTCTATATAATTTAGAAATTTCAAATTTTTACTAGCTTTAAATTCAAAGTTAGGAATTTTCATTTCCGAGTCTGCAGTTGCCCAAAATCGTCCATTTTCAGACCAACATTCGCAACGCACGCAAAGGGCAGAATTTGGTACCATTTGAGCGAATTTGTGACTGTATTGAGACTCAAGTGTCTTCTATATAATGTCG